CTGGCCCCAGTTACCCACCATCAGGCCAATCCGCATCAGTGTCAGTGGCAGCACGAAAGCAAAGAGAGTTGCTCTCCAGCTGACAAATGTCGCTAGCAAGACATATGCCGCATAGTTGCCGACCTCAAAGAAGAGGCATCGCAGAGCCATCCAGTATCGGCCTTTGGAGATGAAGTACAGCGGGAGCTCAAGCCAGATGAGAAGCATGAAGCGGACGACATAATATGCGAAGTCCAGTGGGCTATCACGTTGGAACCTCAGCGTCGATGAGAGGTCATTTGGCCCGTTTCCTTCGATGTGATGGTGCTTGACGTGGTGGTAGTAGTAAGTGTTCCACGTGTGACCCAGCAGCGGATCAGTGATGTAGGGGAAGATTGTGTCGAGGAGGGCATACTTTGGAGCGAGTATACCGCGCTGGTGGATGTGCTGATGCATCATCAGGGTATATGAGCCCATGAAGTAGAACGACATGGCAAAGTGCAGGAAGCCGTGCAGGTAGGTAAAGTCCCAGAATAGATATATGGCACTTGGGAGGGACGTCACCGAGTATAGGAGAAGATGCGTGAGGAAGACGACGTCTGTGGGACGACGTGTGATGCCTTCTGCCCAGTTGACGTAAGGCTGAATCACATACTTGCTCAGCCTTGGGTAATGGCGCTTCAGATCACGCAGGTCCATGGACACAAAGACGGTCGGTTCAAAGTCGTCGTGTTTGGGGTCAGACATTGCCTTCATGAGGGAAATAACATGTTCGTCATCTTCGAGAATATTAGACGCTGTCCGTGCCTGAGGGAGGGGACAGTTGTGCATACCTGACGAGCCAGCCAGCTCTGGCTTGGCAGCTCCTGCCTCACGACGTTTCAAGGAATCGGAAGACTCGGTTTCGGCCAGCGAAGACGTGGATGAGCCATTGATATCCGAGGATGAATCGGCGTCGTCATCTCTCTGGTTGCTGTGTCGATGTATATCATTTTCCAAATTCTTGAGCACCAGTCGATCTGCGATGCTCAAGTCGTGAGCATAGACCAGGCCGGCCATTACAATGACGGCAAACGTGTCTTGGCTTCTCACACGGCTTATCCAGACATGACGTTCCACGACAGCGAGCCTGGTTAACAATGATCCTCGGCGTAAAAATAACTGATGTGCTAATATCTCAAGACTGAACAGTGGCAAAGTTTGTACATGAGACAGGAAGAGATGCTAAACTGGAAACTCAAGTCCAGGGACAGCTCGGCGCAAAATTCGTCAACATTCGCAGCTTGTTGTAAATGGTGCCAGTTTCAGCAGGGTTCATGCTTCTGCCGCCAATGGGTAGGCGCAAAGATATGGGTCCGGCACAAGGCCAGAACATCCAATCTCGCTATGTGGGGCCTCAATTCCCCTGAAAGCGGCCTGTTCAACGGGACGAGCGAAGGCCCAAACGGTTTCCGCGGGCCAAGTTGCTAGCAATGAGTAAGTCAGCTATCAAAACAGTTCTGTCGTTAAGTCGAGCTATAATTAAAAGCAACGAACAGGAATATAAGGGTCTACGGACTGAAAACTAATCGAGACACAATTTGCAATGAGATCTCGATATACCAGATCTTATCGCATCGCGGCATGTGTGCGCGCTTTTCTTTGCACCTCAGATTTTCGCTGTCTATTATTCCGACTTTCAGGTCGGCTCTCTTGGGTTCTTGGTCAATTTGAGATCCCGATTGAACTGATTCATGGTATCCTGGTCTGACGGATCGATAGGGTCCAGGCCTTGTCCGATGCGACGCATCTGGACAGCCGCCAGTGACGCCGTCTCCACGAAATCGAGTGGGTCGTTCAACAACGGCTTGATACAAGAGCTCACTTTACCAGTCAGGATATCGTGCGCCAGTCGCGGCTCCGTGCAAGCTGGTCTACCCAAGCCAACTCCATCAACGCTTTGCAAGGCGTCGGTCATGGCTGCAACACTCCTCAGACCGCCCGTGATGAAGGACTTGGTCTGACGAAGGTGAGGCGTGATCTTCTCAGCAAACTCAAGGAAGAAGGCCTCGCGAGCCTTGGTACTCTCCCGTGGCTTCGTCCATTGGTCGTCCTGGTATGTCCCGCCGCTGAGCTCAACGAAGTCGAACCGATGCTCCTCGAGCAACTCGCACAGCTGCGCTGCTTCTTCCGCCGAAAAGCCGCGCTCCTGAAATTCCACGCTGTTGATCTTGATCCCGAGTACGAAGTCGTCTCTAGTCTGCGCGCGTATGTCGTCCGCGATCTCGGTGATGATACGTGCCCGGTTGGCGAGCGACCCGCCGTATGCGTCGGTGCGCAAGTTCGTGGTCTGAGAGAGGAACTGCGCAAGCAGATAGCCATGCGCCCCGTGTAACTGGATGCCGTCAAAGCCGGCGGCTTCCAGGTAGACGGCTGCGTGGACGAATGCGGCTTTGATGTCGCGAATCTCGTCGAGTGAAGCTGGATGCGGCTTACCGAAGCTCAATCCGCCCATGTCCTTTACAAGTTGCACGTCGGACGCGGACACGGGATTTGGCTGCATTATTTCGAATGCTTGCCGCCCTGGGTGGTTGAGCTGTCCTAAGAATAGCGAGCCACCAGCCTTCCCTGCTACTGCGAGCTGCTGGAAGCCTTCGAACCTCGGCCCGTGAAGAGGCGCGTCTCGTGGTACGATCGCGTTGCCGCGACCTTCGAGATTCTCGAAGTCGATGAGGATGTTTCCAGTTAGCACGACTCCGAAGCCTCCCTCTCCCCAGCTTCGGTAGAGATTGGTATAGTCAGGCATAGGGAGACCTCTAGCTTCTCGATCGGTATCTGACCAGCTGCACATGTGCTCGGTCATCGCAGCCTTCATCAGGCGGCTTTTTGCTAATCGACCGGAGAATGAGAATGGCAGTGGTTGGGCCAGAGGTAATGGATCGGCGCCATTCCGGCATGGAAAACGAGCCGGCGCTGGTACAGATCCCATGATCACGATTGCATTGGGTTCTGTTGATTGCAGACAAGTCGCTCCTTCTTTTCAGCTGTGATAACATGCAACTGCGTGCTTTCATTGTCTCGGAGACACTTGGTGAACTTCCTGGGATGCGTGCTTTAATTATCATCTCGGTCGTGACTGTGGGAAAGATTAGCTCACTTTCGTCATATGGTACCATATTTTGCGTCTGCCGGCAGTTGTTAGCGACGGTTTCACACAACCTGCTAGTATGCGCGTTGGGGTTTTTGAGCTGCAGCGATCGTTATCAATAACAGCAGCCGTACCTTATCTACCGGCTATTAGCCATCAGCAGTAGGTCCAAGTGCTCATTCGTTCGTACATATATCAAGTGTGTATCAGTGTCAGCTAGCGTAACCCATCTTTCTGTCCAAGACTGTGAGGTTGTGTTACTTTCACCGAAAACATGCTCCGTCACCTGTTGACAGTGAAGCTAAACTTTGCCAGTCACAGCTCTTGAGCATGGACATCCTACATTTCATACTACGAAGCAGAGTCTCATCATAACCTGTTGTTGCTTTTACATATCTTTGTTTGTGAGACGTCATCGATATAACATGTTGCAATAGGCACGCATTATCGTTGAATTCTCATTGTCATTAATGAGTTATAAAACCCAACACTGTATACCGTTACATTGCCTTTTATCTAAGCCTAACTGCTTATAAGCCTCAAACCTGTGGATTGAAGCAATGCCCAAGATATCAGACTACGATACATCCATCCGCACGTGCTCTATTTCTGCAATTGAGTGAAGACAGAGTACTCTAACTTTAGTCCTCGATCACCTAAAGAATGAGGGTGGTACAAAGGGTAAGCAGCGTCTATCTGCCCCCGCACAAAGTGTTCACCGCCGGGCGTAAGACTGTTATCATTGTAGTATACTCTGATTATGCAGCCATGCGTAAAGGCCTCATTCAGCCTGTCAGTAATTATCCATTCTGGGTCCGATTCTTGCGGCAATGCATGTTCGTTAGCCAAAATTCCTCCCAAGCCGATTCATGCCCAGCTTCTCGAGCAAGTGCTGGAAGGACTCGCACTCGACACCGCTTTCAGGGAGCCAATCGAATATAGACGCGCAGTAACCCGGGTGTCTCTTGGTGGTGGGTGGTGAGCCCGTCAGAGTCGGGCGGCACGCGTGTGTCGGTACCATTGCTTTGAACGTGGAATACGCCTACTTGCGGACTGTCGAGCGTGGGGACGCTAGGGGAAAGGTGCGTGATGGCGCCGAGTGCTAATGGCTTACGAGGATAGAATCGCGGCGGCTCGTGAACAAGTAAAGTTGCACAAGGGATTCCTCCGTGCTAAACAAGTTGACAAGGAGATAGTGGCTTGTCCTAGGATGAGGACAGCTTGTGAATAACGATCGAGAAAGAAGCGAAAAGCGACCTGCGCGAGCTTCCATCGTTTACGCGTCTTTGTGCATGTCTAGATGCGGCATGGCATAATAAGAAACAACACTACAGGTGAAGATAGCAGTTTGGCACGGTCCGTCAAGCAGTCTTTATGCAAACCCCAACTAGCTTCCGCGCCTCGACAGTCTATACTCGCTTTTTAACATCAGTACCATCTCATCACTACTCTGCCACAACTCATCCATCACCAAACGACATGCAAAAGTTGACAATCCAAGAGAACTGGGTAGCAGGGAGCGTATTCTATTCCTGTCCCAAGTAACGAGAGTGTCAGACTGGATCAGTCTGAGGTCTTACAAGGGCCTTAACAAGGAGGTGTGGCAAGTATATGACATAAGAGAGCAGTGCTAAGGCAACACTGTAAAGAGAAGATAGGCTATACCAGACAGATGCTCGATAGAGATACTTTGGGTAGGGTGACAAGAGTGGAGGGCTGAAGGAGGAGGATGATGGGCATGACCCGAGGAGGATGATGAGCATGACCCTAGCCACCACTTGCGGGGTCACAATGTGAGAGCCAGTAGCCTCTTTTAGAGGTGGAGATCCTCACCAAGAGCCAAGGAACTGCTCCGAAACGGTTCAATCGGCTATAATGCCATCCTCTAACAACAGGCCTTGTGGCGCAATGGTAGCGCGTTCGACTCCAGTTCTTCCCGAATCTGCGAAATCGAGAGGTTATCCGTTCAAGCCGGGTCAGGGTCATAAATTCCAGGTGTTTGATCACGTCTGGAAGCGTTTCTTTTGTTGTTTGCGACATGTCGAGAAAGTAAACATCACAGCTTCAGGGGGGATGCCATTTTTTATGCCGCAAATTATTGTACGTACATTAGCGCTATGACAAAGAGGTCACGTGGGATTAGCTAAGACTATGGGGACTTTGTGCCCCGCAAACATGGTATAATCCGCGGGTGTGATCGGCGACGTCTAGTCTTTGATGCTCTTTTCCATTTCGTGAACTTGATCCCCCATGGATGCTCCTGGCCGCGAGCATCCAGGTTCATAAGGAGACAAAAGAGTTGACAATAGAGTGTTGTATCTCTCAATGTTTCAGCTGATAGCTCTCGGTACTCCGGAGCCCGTCATCGGACATTTGTTCCAGGACAACTTTTGGGGGCCCCTGCATCGGACCCAGTGACCCGGACAATGTTAAACTGGCCTCATTCGTTCGCTGAAACACTTCTACGAAACAGATGAACGATACAGGCGTCTGCCGCCTCAGAAGTGCACCCAGTCCAACACTGCCTGCGCTGGTTCAGACCCATTTTCCCGGGTGCAGACCACCGGACAACGTGCTGCTCGTTGTCTCTCTCGAGTCTTGATGTTCTCCTGCCTGTGGTTTCCATGTTTGTGCATCAACGAATCATAGTTGCCATTGGGGAACACAATAGAAAGACTCTCGGCTTCGGAATCCGTCCCGTCGCCCTCGATGGACTCGGGTTCTTGAACAGGTCCAGAAGCTAGATGTTCGACCGGCTGTCAATCTTGGTTGGTCTTTGCAAGGAGGCATTGATCCTGATCAGTTCGTCGTGAACGGCCAGGACGAAGACGCAGTCGTACAGTGGTCACACCAACGGCATTTCGTTTCCCGCACTTGGTCTGTTGAGTGGCTTCCTCCGCCATGTCTCCGCCGTCGGGGATTGGAGGCTTGACGAAAGCCGTAACCAGGCTTGAGACTCGAATCGGCGTCCGTGATAAGTTATATATGGCTGTCGCCAGACACTATGTACCACGTCTGTCCGCACTACTGGATTTCATAAAGACACTTCGTGACAGCACTCTCCTTTCAAACCCTGTAAAGCTTCACCCCGCGCCTTGCCTATGTTCTAGTTATGCGTCTGGTGATTCTCCGTCAAGCATTGGCCTCAGCTTTCGCTGCAACCGCCGCAGCCTGGCCAGGAATGAACAAGACTTTGAACGATCTACTGTCCTCTGACAGAACTGCCATAAGACCTCACGAAATCAGCTCACAAGAGCTAATAGGCGACCTTGCCATGCTCCCGGACAACCAACTCACGCCAGTCGGTCGCTCCATCAAGAATATCATCACAGGGAGGGAATCTGGCCAGAGCACAGAGCATTGGCGAGGACCGATCCCGGCCAAGGGGTCAGCAGCATGTAGTGCCGAGACGTGCTGCATATGGACCTATATCGCGCGAGACATGGCATCTAGGTATATCGGAGAAGCGGGCCGCTGCAACGGCCTGGCCAGAGCATCCATACGGCTCGGTTTCCACGACGCCGGCAGCTGGTCCAAGAGTACCGGTGGCGGCGGCGCAGACGGCTCCATCATCCTATCCGGCACAGAGCTTTCTCGGCCAGAGAACAACGGCCTGCAAGAAGTCGCGGCGTTCATAACTGAGTTGTACGCCCAGTACGAAGAGTTCGGCGTCACGTACGCCGATCTGATACAAATGGGCGCCACAGTAGCAACAGTGACTTGTCCTCTCGGCCCACGCATTCGCTCCTACGTCGGCCGCAGGGACGATGCTACTCCTGCACCGCCAGGCCTGCTGCCCAACGTCCACTCAGATGCCGAAACGCTCATCGAGCTTTTCGAGGACAAGACTATCAGCCCCCACGGCCTGACGGCCCTCATCGGCGCCCACAGCACAAGCCGGCAACGCTTCGTTGATCCTGCCCGCGCCGGAGATCCGCAGGATAGTACGCCCGGCATATGGGATACGACATTTTACAGGCAGACAGTCGGTCCTGCGCCGCCTCAAGTGTACAGGTTCGAGAGCGACGTGAATCTCGCACTCGACCCGCGCATAACGGGCGAATTTCACGAATTCGGCCATGACCAGAGACGTTGGAACGAGGTAAGTGGGAGCATCCTGCAGATCCTTCAGTCCTATCGCAGACTGCTAATATTGCTGATGGCAGGTCTTCGCAGGGGAGTACGTACGTCTCTCCCTCCTGGGAGTGTATAACATCAACTCCCTTCAAGAGTGCACCAAGGTGCTGCCTCAGGCGAAGACTAGCTTTGTCGCATGGGACCAGGACTTGGGTGATGAGTGGCTCGACGGTGAGGAGGAGAAATAACTTTTGTAAGACGCGGTGCTGGATAACGGGATCCGCTTACAGGGTCTAGGGCTGCCATTGAGGCCTGGAGGAAGTTTGATAACAGTGGGTAGAACTTGCCGCTGAGTTTTGCTGCATGACGCGCGCGAAGCTATCATATGTTATTGAGGGGCTCTAGACTTTACGAGGTTTTTGGTAAACACCTGGTCTGCTTTCAGACGTATATGCGTGGATATTCACGGCTCATCATCGCAGGTGTAGGTCTGTCTCGAAATATAGAGCATGTGTCTCGTCCGTCGTCTAGAAAACGAGATTATTCGAGGGATCCGTCTGATCGAGTCGCATGCGCTGTTTAAGGTGATAGCTAACAAGTGCGAACCAAGGTACTTCATCATGCCTGCTGCTTAAGAATCCTGAGACACTGGTCGATGTTCCCGTCCTGGATGCACGCTCGCTGCTCGAGTCAGTCATTCTCCACAACCGCATCTTTGCGTGGACCCCCAGACTTAGCGCCTCACCACCCCTCAGGCCACACGAAGCGCAATAACCTTACAACGCTCAATCGACAACCCAGGACAGATGGCCGAGCGGTCTAAGGCGCTACGTTCAGGTGCCCCGTCCATCACGGACACCACCCGCTTCGTAGTCTCGCAAGAGGCGTGGGTTCGAATCCCACTCTGTTCACCAAGTCATGCTTTGGGGGTGTAGCTCATCTGGTAGAGCGCGTGCTTAGCATACATTCGATGATAGTCGAGTACATGTTCCTGCACGAGGTACTGGGTTCGACTCCCAGCTCCTCCACAATTCTCTTTTGCAGTTTTGCTCCCTGTGGCAGTAAGTACCATTGTGGGCGAGAGGTGCCTCGAGAAGTGGAGGTCACGGAGAAGAGGGTGGGTCTGTGCCAATGCTTGTATTATTTAGCAACTTTTAATTTTTGTGCGCCCACCACTTTCACAAATGCCCACCGATCACAGAGCTTTGCACAGCTTGGTACCATCCTGGATTACCTGCCAACCTTCGGTGCCGGGAGTCGAGACAGCGTAGAAGATGCCCAGCGGATCCCACTTGCTGCGCGTCTCCTTGAGCTGCGGGTATGCCGAGCCCCAGAAATGGCTCTGCCAGTACGGCTGGAAGGGATCTGCCTCGTTGACATATGTCGTCCCGCTGCGACTCACGTTGCGCAGCGCATCGTCCATCTTGTATGTGAGCGTATTCTGCAGATACGCCTTGCGCGCGAGCGATGCACCGTCTTCGACAACAATGGTAGTGATGACGAAGTCAGTAGCGTTCCTCCAACCGGGGTTAGTAGCGCTGTTGGCAACGGGCACGCCGTAGCCCGGGTTGAACAAGTGCCCGATCATGAAACCGAAGACGTCCGGGGCCGGTGCTAACACTGTTTTCATGGCATTGATGATCTGATCGTTGCGGTTGGCGACGTCGTCATGGTTGAACATCCATCCCCCTGCAAGGGCCGAACCACCCGCGGCCTCATCCTCGAACAAGTCGATGTAGAGACCGTAGAAGGTGTTGAAGTCCTTGATCGTGAACTCGTAGGGAACCTTCTTCTTGTCGAGCTCGCTGAGAAATGGCTGCAGTATGGCTTTGAGTTGGGTTGCGGTCTTGCCGATTGCCACCCAGGGACGCACGCGAAGGGTCTGCGGCAGGACCTCGAAATAAGCGTACAGGCCGTTGTCCACGAAGTGGTTGGAGTACTTGTGGAAAGAGGTCATGCCGGACCACCAGAGGTCAGTGTCGTTGGTCAGGGTCGAGTTTATGTACAGGATTGCGCCGGCGGACTTGACATCCGGAAAGGTCTTCATTGTAACGGAGAGGATGACGGCAAATGAGGCCGGGCCACCGCCCTTGAGAGCCCAGAAGAGGTCCGGGTTCTGTGCCTCGTTGGCGGTAGTGAATTGCCCTGAGGCGGTGATTACGTCGAAGGAGAGCACGTTGTCGGCTGAGAAGCCCTTGAGCGTCGTCCAAGGTCCGTGACCGCCGCCCTGAATGAAGCCTCCGGCGATGCCGACTGTAGGGCACTCGCCGGTCACAACGACAACTGGCGGCTTTTGAGCATGGCCTTGGGTGAGAATGCTCCGGCCCTGCACACCAGCGCCGATCTTCACTGCAGTTTCGGTGTAAGGGCCTGGGCCGGTGTACTTCTTGATCCATGTGACGTCCTGGAAGCTGTGAGTGTTGATTACCAGACTGCCCCAGCCGGTGCTGCGTCCGATGAAGTCATGCCCGGTGTTACGGACTATCATGCGGATGCCCTTTTGGCGGGCGAAGTCGATGCCGGCCTTGATGTGCTCCTTCGTCTTGGCCAATATCACGTAGACGGGGTAGTAACCAAGTGTGCACGGCGCGGATGGGTCTGTCGTTGGCCGGCAGGTTTCGTTTGTCCAGTAAGTCCACAGTTCGGCAGCTGGTTGATCGACACTGCGTATGATTAGCTGTTCGTTCTTGTTCTGTCGTACAGCGGCACTCACGTCCAAGTCTCGTTGGCAAAGTTTGCCTGGACGTTAGCGCATCCTGCGGCGCTGTATGTGTTCACTGTCCCTAGCGGTCCCTCGAAGGTCTTGTGGCATGGCGCGCCAGGCGGGATATCTACGAGTAGGTTTCCGCCCACAGTAGTGTTGAGCTTCTTCCAATCATTGGCCGATGGCCAGCAGGATTGTCCTAGGTAGCACTTGCAGCCATATTTCTTCCCATTCCACGTCGTCGGTTGCAGAGGCGCGGCATCCGAGAAGTCAAGTGGCGGCGAACCGCCGCCCAATGCTGTTACATCTTGTCGAGGAAGTATTGCGAAAGAGCTGCTTAACACATCTGCCGCCAGGCCTAACAGCAATAATTGGCGATGCATTCTGTCACACTTATGACGAGAGCTGGGGAATGGCCAGAGACAACCGGATGCCTCGGTGCTGGGGAACCGGCCATCACCAATTATTTATCCTAGCTGGGGGTGATCAACACGCCCAGGTACCTAGCACCCAATGGACGGAGCTAGTGCACGTTGCTGCAGGCGAGATGAAGTCATACCCGGTCTCCCCAGCCCTCTTATTCATCCCAATGCAACCCTCTGTGTCGGTGAAGCAACCAGAAATGAGATGGCGCTGCGCGCGTCGATTGGGATTAGCTAGATACGAGCCGACCCGAAGAATTGGAATTGTGGTACGGACTACAGCCCGGGTGCCGATGGCAAACGCGCGACTTCGAGCCCTTAGCTTCCCTGGACTTGAGGGGCCCGGCGCTTGAACCCGGAAACCTCTTCCAACTCGGGTAAACCACTGCTGACTTGATTCTTACGCGACACATGCGCCTGTCCATGCAAGGTATCAACCGCGTTTGTCGACATCAGCACTACCTTTAGGCGAGGAGCGCAAGGTCGAGTCATTGTACTGGAGACTCTACACTGCAGTACGATGCGGGGTTCTCATCTGCGGGGTCGTTCAGCCCATGCGCACAACAGCGTGTTGCCTGCAGGAACCAGGCTCGAACGAGAGCACAAAGGACCGTATTGTCCCAGGCCCTGTTCTCAAAGAGATGGGAGAGCAGAAGATGTCGCCATTGTCCAGATTTCCTGTGTCAAGTACAGAATAGCCTGAACTAAACCTAAGCCCTGCGGCGTGTTCCGGACCGACCTCGACGGCAGCAACACCTGTTGCCTTTGCTGTGCCGCAGCAAGAAGTGACATTGGTTGTTGGTTGTTGGCTGTTGGTTCTGCTGCAGCCAGCCTCCGTTTTTCCATTACGTAGACCGGTATGCTTCTTGGACTTCAACTCAAGCAACACGCTATTAAAAAGCAAGTCGTTGCTCACCGCCTATCACATATCGCAACGATATCGCTTCTACGACTCCGAACATGATTTCGAGGATCCGAAAATGGATCAGCACATTATTCCGCACAAGTCGCCCAGTGTCCGAGGTGCAAGACATATCTATGGGAGTGGCAAACAAGCCAGACGAGACCAGGTCGGTCCACGCATCATCTTCTTCCGCAAAAGCAGTCCAGATAATTAACCCGGTGGACATCAGAGACTGTTACCAGCGGGAGGAAACGAAATATTATGGGACGCAAGAATATATATGTCCTCGTTCTCGGTCCCGCGGGCGTTGGCAAGAGGTCTCTATACCGAAAGGTTGATTGATCTTGCTCCATGCTGTCCTAATCCGAGAGCGAAAAATAAAAAGCAAAAAGAAGAACTGATGAGATCAAACGTGTACTAGATAGTGTGGAGTGATATGACTGGCGGTCGGAGACTGGGTGATACAGCATATGACCCGACTTTCGATGGTCCCGAACATCCTGCATACTCCTGCGGCGGCTATCTGTATAACCTGGATATCCGCCCATATATAGCGACAGATGTAAACGATTCATATTGTACTCCTATATATCACTACTGCGGCATCATACTGGCTTATGATCTCAGCTGCTCACACTCCTGGGATGCAGCCGTCCGGCTGAGCAATCTCATAAGCCATAGCTATCCGACTCATGCTCGGCAGGAAGGACAGGACAGCCCGCTCCCGGTCATGATCCTTGGACTGAAAGCAGATATCTAAGCTGGCCACTAAAGTCTCCGCGAAGAAAGAGAGGAATTTGCTCGCCAGCAGGGATCGCTCTTTGCCGAGTGCTCGGCACTTACCGGGGAGGGGATCAATGAGGCTGTTGGGACGTTTGTCGAACATACATGCGACTATTATGCGAAATCCCGACTCATATACCGAAGGCATGGGACCTAACGCCAAGACGCAGCTCTTTTATGCACTTTCTCAGCCTGTCCGTGCTGTTCAGACAAAACCATCGCTCCTCCCCGGCGTGTACCGGAAACGACGTTGGCTTTGCTTAGTACAAAAAACAGAGTTGCCCGGCGATGAGCTGGATTACAGGGGAGGTGCCATGTGTATTGCTTTCTGGAACAGATGGGGTTGTGACGAGTCACTTATGAACGTGGTACGAGCATGGGCTTCGCGAGTATCCTGCGAGTATGCGCTGACTCAAATAACATTAGTTATTACACGACGAAAAGCGTAGCATCGCCATCGATGGGCAGTGGTGCCCAAGAACGACAGCTATACGGGAGGACGCATTGGCAGGTTTTGTCTGCAATGGCTACCATTATACCCTGAATTTCATCTCGTCGGAGCCGCCAAACCTGAGCGATTACTACGGAGTTGTACTTGCATACGATGTGCATTCTCAAGAATCGTGGCACGAGGTTTGCCGATTTTTAGGACGGCTGCGCTGGGCTCGCTGGGGCGAAGGGGGAATACCAGTCCAGTTCATGCTCCTCGGCATCGATACGCACGTTCATATAGGAGACTGGTCTGGGGCTCTCAAACACCGGGTCAACCGGACAGAAGCACAGGCATTTGCGCAGCAGAACGATTGCCACTTAGCCGAGTGCTACACAAGGGGTGGAGAGGGTATCCATCAAGCGTTTGGACTGTTCGTCCAGCACGCTCATGCGTTGAGGATGCGGTTCGACGGGGATCCAGAAGCTCTTGAATTCAAGAACTTGGCTTACAAGGTCTTCCGACGAGTTTTAGGAAGCGCTTATATGGACAAAAAGGGCGAACGATATCGCCTTTTGCTGGAAATAGCAAAAGTACTAGTCGATATTTTGAAATGTATTAATAAATTGAAGTGTTTTACGGTGCTGAACAGGATCTTCGCTCCCTTTAGACCTAGATGACGTGGGTTTCATCCTCAGTGTTCTCATCCAACTAGAGCTCCGTCGTAAGAATATAGGGCGTCATCTGAGCTATGATTAATCGGAAGGTTTGAGTAACAGTAAGAA